CCAGTCGGCAAATTTAAATTTTCGCTAGTGCTGTGGCGCTGCAATCTTTGGCTATATCTTGGGCTACTCCAATATTTTTTTTGTTAATGTGTGTTTTAGCTGGCAGCACTGGCACTTTTGTGTGGTGTTTTTCTGAGGACTGTGTGTCTTGCCGAATCGAACGGTTTTGATACTAGATTAACTTCTAAAGTATAATTTTTTTTGTTTTTATATTTTTCAATATATTTATTTTGTTTGTAAAAAATAAAGAAATAATTTTTAACGATACAATAGCCACGATTATTATTTTAAAAAGTTTACGTTAGGCTTAACGTCGACGAAAATTCAACCCGAAGCGAAACGCAACGGAGAAAAATTTTAACATTGGATATTTTTTGTACATAATCGGTTATCCGAACAATCCCAGTCCCCAATTGATTGGGATAAACGACCGACGCTCTACTGTACATTATACTTAGCGTGAAAACAACGAGTCATGCTGATAATGTCGCAGTATACTAAAATGTTTTGAGTTAAAACTATGTGACTTTCGGTTTATAGTAATAGTTTATGGTTAATCGGAAAACCTCTTCCTCCTCATCTTTTTCTAGAGGCTCGAATTCGAGCTATCTAAGTTTGTTTTTCAGATGAATGAGGTACAGGCACTCTGATAAGAACAAAATTGTATAGGTCCGCAATTTGAAAACTGCAGCCCAACTAGAAGTATATTAGTTGGATATTTTTAGTTCCAATATAGACTATTACATTAGAAAGAAATCAAAATACTTACGAATGTTATTCATTATTTATAGTAGTTTAACAGATATTTGGAAATATTGTAATACAGGAACAACTGGAAACTCGATCAAGTAACACTAGTAAACGAAGTCTTACAAAACAATAACTACACTCTTAAATGATAGAAATGAATATATTTCAATATTGCGTTATCTATATATATATATATATGGACGTGTTTGTGCCTATACGTCACTCTGCAGCCAAAACTACGCATCCCACATGAATGGTGTTTGTGTGTGGTAGTAGCCCCAAGTCTCCCATCGTGCATGTGAGGACCTAACAGAGGTCCGAAATCATGTAAATCGCGGTATTCTTATGATTAAATAATAACGATAGATTTAATATGAGAGGGAGAGGAAATTCCCATAATTTAAACAACGCGGCAGAAAATGTAAACAACGAGTCCCGGATGACTCCAACACGTGTTACACGAACTGTGAATGTCAGAATGAAAAGTTATAAGTCAGACACAAGTGATCATAAAAAGGTAGAGCTTTGACCCAAGCCATCATAAACAATCAATCTAGGGAAACAATTTCGGAAAAGAGAAAAAGATTTAAGAGAGACAAATCATTGCATATGATCGTTCGAGTACCCATATGACAGAAATCGCGAGTAACGGAGCTAAATTATGAGCGCGAGTCTTGCAATTTTGTCAACAATCCCCAAGAACAATCGACAGAACGGCGTCAAGCAGACACCTGGAATCGGACCTTTCCCGTGACCCGAGTCGGTCTCGGTTTATCCCAAAACAAAAGAGGGACCAATCGGAAAGCGAAGAAGGGGACAAGGGGCCAATCAGAAGTCCGAATAGTGGGAGAAAAAACTATAAAAATCCGAAATTAAAGGTCAGAGGGAGCTTTCCTCCATATTCCACGAAAGGTCGTGACTTATATTGTGGTGTGTCGTCGCCAAGAACTTTGGACTCCACCGCTTCCTCCATCCGCCTTGCTCAGCTCGTCCGCCACGGAGCAAGATAGAGGCCGAAGTTCTCGCCTCTCCGCCTCTTCGACGCGAAGAACCTAGTAAAGGACTGTCGATTGTCCATTAAGCATGATTGTTAACAAATAAACGGCTTTCTTGTGTAAAACACTTGTCATCATTTGCCTCCTCCGTCACAGCCCACATACAACCTTCCCTTAGGTTCATCCTTACGCGGTATTAATAGATCCCACCTAGGAGACGGCAATCTTACACAGGTGCCGTGGAGTAGGTTTCAAGTCCCCTATCTCCACCGGGTCCGCTGCACTATAGTGCAGCCGACCCCGTGGAGATAGGGGACTTGAAACCTACACGCACTGTGGTGGTTGCGTCTCGATAGCTATAAGGGTGTGAGAGATATGGGGTTTGAAAGTGGTTGTCTTCGAAAATGTGTGACGCTTCAATGAGAATGTTCCAGTTTTTTCTAGAAAGTTCCAGAACCTATAAATGAAATTTGGTACACAGTTAGGGTACGTCATCAAAACTCAAACTATGAAGGGATTTTTCGAAATTCCCCGCGGGGGGAGAAGGAAAGCATTAAGGCTTAACCTGAAGAACGACTTCGACTGTACTATTTTACATGCGATTTTTTTGTTTTTAATTACGTTTAGTTTTCACTGAGTACTTAGCGATAATAAATTGATAACATTTTAGACATTGTTATAAATATTTTTTATATATTTCGATTTTTTAACCAAATGTTCGAATCGTTTTAAATTTGAATTTCTTTTTGCATATTGGTTCGATTATAGAACAATTGTAAACGTTCCAGAAAATTTATCAAATTAAAAACAGTTCGTTCGATTCTCGCCAATTTTCATCATTCTCGGCGGTAGGTATCATATAACAATTACAGTCGACCCCCTATAACACTGTTGATTATTCCGTTTTATATGAATTCCATGTTGTACGAGTCACTCACGTAATACGTGTTCCGGCCTGTGAACGGCTCTCGTATTTGTAAAATGTAAGTGACTCGTACAACATGAAAATCATATAAAACGGAATAATCAACAGTGTTATAGAGGGGTCGACGTGTACTATGGTTGTTGAAATACTGAATTTAAATAAGGTTTGCTTGCAAAACCCCCGTGGGTAAAGTCGCGGATAACACCTAGTATATTTCTATTTCTCCTTTTCCTTCATTTTCGTGGTTCGGGACTTATAAGCTAATATGACATTTAAAGTTGTCAGATTTTATTATGTTTGTAAACAAACCACGGTATGACCATTTGTATGTTAGTTATATAAATGTATTTATGACTGAAAAGCAAACAATTTGATCAATAAATGGTCCTTCATACAAATATCCATTCAGAAGAAATTAATATTTGTAATATTTCGCTCATTCTGCCAAGAATCTTTATATGTTTAGTACAATTTATAATATAGAACAATTATTTATAACCTAAATTTTATATTTTTACAATGCATTGCATTCAGGTATTAAGAGAAATTGTTCGGAAAATTGCTACAAAATTCTTATAAATGTGCAATATTTTACGGAATAATTCACTAATATGATGTCTTTTTGAATATATGATACGTTTGTAATTATTTATTATTTATCCATATAGTGATCGTTTAAAATATTTGTATAATTACAAGTATTATGGATAATTTAACAAATCGATAATCTTTCCATATAAGTTAGTTTTAATAAGTGAATTGATGATGACCAACGAGATATGTAAGGTTTATGAAATTAAAATAACATGTTCAAATGTAATTAGGGGTTTTAAATACCTGAACGTGTACAACCATGATTATGTATGTATGTTTCTAACAAATTTTAATTAATAGGTTAATTCAGAAAAGAAGTAAATCTAAAACTACAACAGATGATGACTTACATATTGCCTGTCAACGTAGACAAAAGCTAATTAGGGCTTAATTAAATCACTACAAACTCGTGTAGTAGATAGAAAATAAGGTCCACTTTCTCTGGCAGTATGTGAAATTTAAAGGATTTTTATTAAAAAAAAAATAAGCTCTCATTCAAGAGTTAGACACACGAAGACATCCGATAACCGCACAGGGCCAGCCTATTTATGTATCTGAAGATTTACAAGTTGTGAAGATCTTGTTCTTGCTTAAGAAATACTATGAAATAAGTAAGTTTTCATAACTTACAGCTTATCATTGACACGATTACAATTTATATGCTATAAAGTAATTTGACATGGTTGTGACATTACTGTGTTTGTTTGAAGTTTATTTCACAAACAGGTGAGAAATTAAACTTTAATAACAAAAGTCAGTCATCGATATTTTCATACTTATTCAATTATTTTCATCTACTAGCTGAGAAAATCTCCCCTTACACTTTCTCGACGGCAAAAACGATGTATTCTCATAACATGCTGATTACTTGGCCAGGCAGGTATTTATCTGAACACGCGATCCAATGTAAACCTTATCTTGCGACAACTCCGTTAAATAAGTCGGTTAATTTGATCTTATGATATATGTATCCTGCAACCTTTTTGTGATTATTAAAAGGTGATTTGTTTCTGACGGGGCGCTAAAAATGTGCCGACTCTGGTCACGAATACTTTTCTTCCTTTTTGTAAAAGCTCGAAGTTAATAAGGCACTCGTAGAGCACGAAAAAAGTTACCCTGTCGGCTACCCTTGAGCCGCGTAATTTCACTGTCAATGTGTCTGTTTAATGCTTATGAAATCAACCAATTCGGTAGTCCATAGAGCAACAGATTGGAGAAAAAATAATGAAGTAGAAGAGTTTCAGAAAATAGCAAGATATCCTTTGAAACGAGATTGATTAATGTATCATTAAGCCTGTAAGCATTCAATTTACATATATCATACTATACTGATCATAGTAATAATTATATATTATGAAAGCTCGTTCAGCTGTTCAAAATAAACTTACACTATTCAATCATATTTTAATTAAACTTTATATCTAGTTTCTCAAAATAATTTCGTATAAATAATAATATATTAATCAAAATAGAAAATATACGAATAACTTTAAATTTGCTATGTGTAATTTTAGTATAATAAATAATTTTACATTTAATTAAATACAGAATATGAAACGATAAACGTCTGAGTTTTTCTAATATTTTATATGAAAATTAAAATCTTTCAATAAATCATTTCTCGTATATTGATATTATCTCATATATCGATACGAGATAAATTAATAGAATAATGTAATAGAATAGATATACAGTATTTCAGTTCAGTAAACAATAATTATAGAAAGTACACATTTAATATTATATTCAAATATCAATGTAAATACTAAGACAATTTCATTTCATAAGACAATCTTTTATGAAACAGAAGTTTATTATTGACAGAATTGGCTGCATTAGAAAATCGATATTGTACCAGATATAAAAATGTACTGTACATTACTTACATCAGAATACAGTTCCAGATTGAGCCCTATTAAAAGGTAAGTAATTCTTAGCAATTAATGTAATAATAGAAATATTTATAAGTTACAATTAGTGTTATTGAGTATTATAGAAAATTCTATTAGACATTGTTATTGGTCTGGTGTGGTCAATGTGATTTCGTTATAATTGGATACTATTGCATAACATTTTTCTTCAATTGTATTGAGTTAAGAACATTCTACAGAATGGGCAACTAATAAAACATAAATTAGACAGAATTAAATAACCTAATAAATAGGGTATAACAATATGCAACTTTGTTTTTTCAATGGAAACACATATTTTTGACTCCGGAAATGGAAAGAGCAGGAAATTTTACATTGTACCTGAATGCATACTTACCTAAATTTCAAATGTGATTATTAAGGACCAATTTTTTTTAATAAAAGTTCTGGTCTTCCTTTCTGTCGGCCTTAGTGTGATAAGCCCTGCAAATTGTTATACCCTATATATTAGGTTATTTAATTCTGTCTAATTTATAGTTGTGGGCAAAAAGTGTTGTTTATTAATAAAACATAGTTGAAAACAAAAATTGCATCTAAAATAGTACAGCAGAAGCTGTTCTTTAGGTTAAGCCTCAATCCTCTCATTCTCATACTGTAAAGGAAATCTCCAAAAATTCCTTAATGGGTATTCTCATGGCATATCCTACTAATATATTTTAGTAGGTAACAAAAAATTTAGTTGATAACAAAAAAATTCATCTAAAATACTAGAGTAGAAGCTGCTTACTTTCAAGTTAAGCCTTAAACCTTTCTCTCTCCCCCCGTGGAGGGAATTTTCAAAAATCCCTTCTTAGTGTGCATTTTCATGACGTACCTTTACCCTGACTGGGTACAAAATTTCACCACTTTAGGTTCAGCGGTTTGCTTTCGGCGATGTTGAATCTGTCAATCACTCAGTCAGTCAGGACACGAAATTTTATGTGTTCAGATATATGTTAATTGTGGTGAAAAAAATCGTGTTTTAACATATACATATATATAGGGTGCATTTCTTATTTTGAGACTATAAAATATCTTAATTGGATATCAAGACAATTGGATATCAAGACAATTGGAAAAAGATACAAACAAAAGTTTTAGGGTGTCAAGGGGGCAATCAATTGGTGACCTCAGACGTGACCTTGACTTTGACTTTAAAGGACATTTTAAGGTCAAGTTTGTTGTTTCAATAGGAACACATATTTTTGACTCCGGAAATGGAAAGAGCAGGAAATTTTACATTCAGATATACTCTTGATCTTAAGGTCTAGGTCAAAAGTCAAGATTATTTTAAAGTTAAAATTTATAGCTTATTCTATCGGTAAACCATATTTTTCAATACTGGAATAGACAGGGAAGACAATTTACTGGTTTTTACAACTTTATTACTTTCATTTTTAAAAGCATACACTATTTTTAGCACTATCCAGGCGTAACAACATGGATGTAGTAGTTTTGATGTAGTAGTTTTCTGCTCCTTTTGAGGTGCTTGTTTTCGGTGAGTGACTTTACTTCTCACTGCTGCTTGAGATACTGGTTTCAGGAAAAATTTTACAGCAATTGTTCAAAATGATGCTTTTTCACTTCAACACATCTCTTGATCTGTGCTTCAAATTATCGTAAACAACTGAGAACAACTTCAAGTGTCAGTTGGGCACAAGCTTCTCTGATACGCTGATTTATATTTTCAGCAGTTGTTGGCACTTTTTCACAAACTTTAGTCTTTATAAAACCCCACAAACAGAAATTCGGTGATGTAAGATCTGTGGACCCGGCTGGCCAATTTACTGGACCTCCTCTACTGATCTAGCAACCATTGAATTTTCTCTGTGCAACTTTAGAAAAATTCGTTGGACAGCCATCATGCTGAAACCACATGTGTAGTTTTATTTCCAAGATCAAATCTTCAAGCAATATTGGAAGTTCATTTTCTAAAAAGTCACGAGTTTCTCCATTAAAATTAAACATCAATAAATACCAGATCGATTCCACCAATTATTCCACACCAAACATTGACAGACCATGGACGCTAATGCGCAACTTGGCATAACAGTGTGGCTTCTCAACATTCCAAAAATGCATATTATGCCCATTAACTGCACTATAGTTAGTATAAGTGCACTCATCAGAAAACAATACTTCATGAAAAAAACTTGGATTTTGTTGTATTTGCTGAAGTGTCCATTGACAAAATGTCACTCAATTCTCGTAATCATTGCCATGAAGTTTTTGATGCAAGGACATATGAAAAAGGTGAAATTTATGGCGTTTTAGTGTCTTTTGTACGCTACTGTGAAATATTCCAAAATTGTGACTTATTTGTCAAGTACTTAGATGAGGATTAGCAGCCACTTCAGCTATAACAGCAGTTGCATTAATTTTTTCAGAAACTGTATGTCAGCGATTTTTTCTGCTTTTCTTACATTTTCTGTAGTAGTGAATTGTTGAATAAAGCAATAGAAAGATGCTTGTGATCGTTTTCTATATGGAAAACGTTCAGCGTATCAACAGCAACAGCATTATCAACTTTCCTTGAACATTCTCCATAAATAAAAACCATTTCAATTTTTTCTTCTATAGATATGGCCTTCGTTGTTAAAGTAATAATTTGAAAGCAATAACGTATCACATGCAAATTCAATCGTCCGGATATGAGGACAATTAAAAGAAAAATAAAGTGTGGCTATAACTTTGTAACCAGAGATTTCTGCAACAATAAACATGTATTCATTTACATTTTTGCACACACGCATAACAAAAACTAAACCAAAAATTGCCAAAACAAGTCAGACTTTGCCTGTTTATCAAGATTAACATAAAATTAACCCATTGCGTACATTTGTTCCGCTTCGAATGCCACTCGGAAACCAATAATAAAAATTATTTTTTATATTAATTAAGTAAGTATTTCCATTCAAAAGAGAATAAAACATCAAAAAAAATTGCCGGAAAATAATTTTCACGAAATAAAAACCTTCCAGAAAGTGTTTCTACAAGAAGTATTTTAAAAAAATTAAAGTAATTTAAAATAAATGCTTTAATTTAAACAAATATAGCTGAACGGATTGTAATACTGTACTTTCATTTAATAATGTGTGATATTTCACATGTACTGTCTACATTCATTACAAACTAGTTGACCTTGAGAACAGCTGGTGTCAGCTTTCCCAGGTAGTTCTCATTTACACCTCAGGGTAATATTTGTTTACCGCAGGAGGAAAGCTGACTTACCGCATCTCTTCAAATATAACACAATATTTTCGCTTCTGCTTCTAATAGAATAAAGTGCTATAAATTAAAACACTTGGCAGTTTTTCTTTATTTAGTTGATACCTGTGACATCTTTATTTAGTTAATACGTGTGAAAAATTACACTTTTCAGGCTCTTAAGCCCCTCCTCAGCAAACTAAAATATTAAAAAAGGTTACAACATATATATAGAAAAAATACATAAGTTTTGTAGAATATATAAAATTATTGTGATCTAAAACATACCTTGGGTACAACTATTATTAAAGTGGTACACAATTGATTATACTTTTTACTCATAAATCAGTTTTGTGAAATCTTTACTTCCTTTGATGCCCATTCACAAATTTACATATTTACATATCTGACATCGATTGCAATTTTACAGTTGTATACGATTGGTAATTTATTTAACATTTTAATATTTAATATTATAAATTATTACATAGTCCTCAATAATAATACAATATCTTAAAGTTGGTAAACATGATTAACAATTAATATAAATTTACATATTATCTGTTATCTATTACAATTTTACAGTTGTATTGTTTATTTATTTAACATTTCGATATTTATTATTATAAATTAGCACATTTATTACAATAATAAAACAATTTTAAAGCTGGTGAATACAATTAATATAGACTTTTTAACCAATTTTCACTTATAGAAATGCTAGGATTTTTATTAATACTATTTTGATTTTTGATTATTCCTATAATTTCTTTAAATTTCCTTTTATATGTATCTTTTTCTCTATGTAAAATATCTATATTAGTTTTGTCTATACAGTAGAGCGTCGATTATCGGAAACCTCAATTATCCGAAAGAATTCCAGTCAGCAAATTTAAATTTTCGCCAGGGCTGTAGCGCTGCAATCTTTCGCTATGTCTTGGCTACTCAAATATTTTACGGTTTTGATACTAAATTAACTTCTTAAGTATAATTTTTTATTGTTTTTATATTTTTAAATAAATTTATTCTGTTTGTACAAAATAAAAATAAATAATTTCTAACGATACAATACTATTCGTTAGGATTAACATGGACGAAAATCAATGCGAACCGACAGGCAACGGAGTAAAATTTCAACATGGGAAAGGTTAATATATTTATTCGTGCATAATCGGTTATCCGAAACATCGATTTTTTTTTTCCGAACAACCCCAGTTTCCAATTGTTTCGGATAATCGACGCTCTACTGTATTGCAATTATTTAAAAAGCAGTGTTCATGAAAAATGGAATTTAGTCTTCGATATTGCAAATCTGGTATATATTCTTTCAATCTCACTTTAACTTTACGTTTATTTTTACCTATATAAAATTTAGTATTTTCACATGTGCATGGAATTTTATAAACTACGTTTTTGCTTTCTTTCTTTGTTATATATTTTTTCTAACTTGTTTTGCACTTAATCTAAATTGTAGGTTATATATGTCGGTACTAGTTTTACATTAATTTTTTTGACTTCTTTATTAACTTCTCTGTAGTCCTTTTATGTATGGGAAACGAATGTATTTTATGTCTGTTTAGGATCTATTCTTATTTTTTATCTATTTTTTTAGCTATTTCTTTTTCCCAATTGCTAAGAATTCTGTTTGGGTATCCTGAAAGAATAAATTTTTTTTAGCGTATTTAAATGTTCAATTTGTTCGGTATTTATACTAGTACTATTTTTGATCTTAGTGTATTCCATATTAAATGTATTTTGTTTTATATGAAATGGAATGTTTGAATTATAGTTAACTGTAGTGTTTA